AGAGATCTACTATTTGAAGAATTTTGTTGGCAGCTACTAATTGAGATGGAGGTATATATGTATTAAAAATGCAGATTTTGGGTTGGGCTAGGATTTCAATTCCTAAAGAGCAGGTATTGCTGTTGATTGGTAAGGGCTTGTGAGTATGCTAACACCGTGTTTGGCATAGGTATTAGAGCTAAAGTTATAAAAATATCCAATAAATTGCTTGGGGTAAGCAATATTCGTTAGGTTGGCATTAATATGTGTAATTCGTGGTAATTGTTAAAATAACCATTCATGTTCCATTGTACGAGTGTAATGGCCATAAGTGGGAAGAGAGAGTGGATGTTATTTGGATTAGTTTTGGATTGACGAAACTATGAATCATTTAAATTAATATTGTGTGAAATTGATGTTCAGCGTGGATTTCTTGTAAGAGTGCATGTGATGCAGAAGATAAGTTGTACTTGTTATTTTGGCTGTTGAGGGATTGTGGTGATAGGGGACTGGAGAATCGGGGAAGGAAAAGGAGAAGAGGAAGGGAAAGGGGTTTTTTTCGGGGCTTCAACGGTGGAAGCCATTTTGATTTTGTCATTTTTGTTTTCGTTTGTGAAGTTTTGGCTACGGAAGAGTATGAGGCGGTATTAACCGAGTTATGTGTTGTTGTTTTGAATATTGTTTTGGCCTCACACATTTTCTGACTGTTTTTATTTTGAGTATATTTTGTTCTTGGTACTTCGGGCATTGTCGGAAAAAGGCCGAATGTTCGCCAGAGCAATTGGCACAGCAGATTTTCGTGCATTTGTTAGGGGAACAGTGTGGTAGGGCACATTCGGAGCAAAGTGGGATGTTTATGCATTTTTTGGTTGTGTGACCGAGGAGTTGGCAAGACTTGCATCTCATGGAGCTTGGTATGTACTCGCAAACTTTAACAGAGTGCCAAAAAATTTCGATTTTGGATGGAAGGTTCACGTCTGCACGCGACGAGAGATAGATGAAGACTGAGCTAAGATATAATTACAAATAACTAGTAAGCCCGGCAAACTCTGTTTCGCCACCAGAGGGCGACAGTTTTATTTAAAATTTCGTTTGGTGTTTAAAAGATTAAGAAATTTTTTTTTTTTTATATATTATATTAGGTTATTTAGTAATGACATACTGGTTTTTACATTCTAATTTCGAGCTTCGCTTGTGAAGTCAAATATAATCGTATCTGGCAATGCTGTATATTGTTTGAAAGTTATTGGCATCACCTTTAAAATGACATATAATTTGTTTACATGAGCTTCCACCTTAAAATTACAATCGATTGAAATGGAGTTTACAAACGCAGAAATTCGGGCAATTTTGAAATTTTATTTCGCACAGGGAAAAACTGCTGCGGAATCTCACAGACATATTATTGCTGTCTTAGGAGATAACAAACTTTCGATTCAAACCGCTGAAACACCCAAGCCTTCCGGACGACCAGTGACCGTTGATACGGATAAAATCATGGAAATAGTGGATCGAGATCGTCATGTGACTATTAGAACCATCGCAGAGGAGCTGCAACTAAGCACGGAAACCGTCCATAGGCATTTAAAGTCGAAAAATGTAACAACAAATCTCGATGTATGGGTGCCTTATGAGTTATCCCAAAGAAAAACCTTTTCGACCGTGTATCAATCTGCGAATCTTTGTAGCACCGTAATAAACTCGACTCATTTCTGGATTGGTTAGTCTCTGGTGATGAAGAATGGATCACATATGACAACATAAAGCGTAAAAGATCCTGGTCGAAGCACGATGAGTCGTCTCAAACGTTGGCAAAGCCAGGACTGACGGCGGAGAATGTGTTGCTGAGTGTATGGTGGGATATCAGAGGTATTATCCATTATAAAGTGTTGCCCTATGGCCAAACCATTGATTCTGACCTCTACTGTGAACAACTGGAGCGATTGTAGATTGCACTTGAACAGAAGCGGCCAGCCATGGTGAATCGTAAGGGCGTTGTGTTCCATAATGGCAACGCCAGGCCCCATACATCTTTGGTGACGCGTCACAAACTACGGGAGCTTGGCATCCACCTTATAGTCCGGACATTGCCCCAAGCGATTACCATCTGTTTTTGGCCATGCAAAATTTTTTCGGTGGACAAAAATTGAGTTTAAGGGAGGATTGTGAAAATCGAATCGCCGAGTTTTTTGCCAGTAGGGACAAGGAATTCTTTAGGAGAGGCATATACAAGTTACCATCAAAATAACAGAAAATCATCAAAGACAACGGTACATATAGCACTTAAATCGGACAATGCTAACTATGTTAAAATCGTCGTCAAAAATCAATATAGAAACCGTTATGCCATTACCAAACAACCTAATATATAAATAATGAAAAAAATTATAACATGGATTTTTTTTATAACCCTTGAATCGAGAATCTAGCGGGAAATAAAATTAGAACATCGTTGTTTTTCATCAGACTAGCAAAATGTTTGGAATATTGAGTTTTCTAACTGCTCTTGAATTGCATATTAAATTTCATCAAAATCGGACAACTATATCATATAGCTGCCATACGAACAATAGTCGAAAATATGGAAAATTAAAAAAAAAAATCGTCATAGTTTCAATGTTGTTTAGCCCTTATGCATTTTTATCAACATATTTGATGACTGCAAGGGTATGTAAGCTTCAGGTTGCCGAAGCTAGCTTCCTTTCTTGTTTTAGATATTGTTTCTGGGTCCATTTCTATTTGATGAAATCCCTTTGCCAAATCGATATTTGTAAAGTATTGGCATTTTCCTAGCTTACCAAGGATTTCGTCCATGTTCGATATTGGATATCTGTCAGGAATCGTTATTTCATTTAGTTTCCTATAATCAACTACTACTCTATACTTAATTTTAACAGAGGCATCCGTTTTTTTTGGGAACGACCCAGGCAGGACTATGGTATGGTGAATTACTTTCCCTAATTAATAACTTATTAAGCATTTCCTGCACTTGGTTTTCGACTTCAATTTCATGCGCTTGAGCAAGTAGGGGAGAGTGGGGTAATGTCGTCAGTGGGGCAGTGTCGTCACTCGCTATTATTTTAAAAAATATAAGGGCTACCAACCCAATTTTTTTAGCGTAAGTGTATTGCACTATTCCTACATTACCGACGGAGTTTGGTAGAATTATAGGTTATGTATAATTATTTATTCATCAGAAAGTGTTTCGGAGCCTCAAAAGTAATTTTTCTCCGGCGCAGAACTATTTTTCTTCCAAGTAAATTTTCGATCAAAGAAGTATAAAGGTAAGTTATTATTGTTGAGAAATGTTTGGCAAACACGAGAAAGTAGGTTGTGTAACAGCTGATTCGAGTTTCGATTTGTTATTCATGTTTTTATCAAAAAATGTCGCGTGGGGCATTGTCGTCACTCAATGGGTGGGGCAAAGTCGTCACTGTATTATCTCAGACTGAAAAACAAACTCGTATCAATTTATTATTGTTTTGTGATTGTTTATGTAAAGTATTAAATATAAAATATAATTTCTTCAAAATGTTCTTCAAACAAAAATAAAATTCTAAAAAAAGAGGTCGCCCAAAGAAAAATCTTTAAGAAATTCAGATTTTTGCTTTTTATCCTGCACTTAGATCTGAATGTGTCAAATTTTTGCAAAAAATATAGTGTTCCACTTTTTTATATGTATGAATATCAATAAATGTGTTTTTGACAAGTTGAAATAGTTTTGTGCACATGGGTACCTATATTTGCATTCATTATTCTATGTGACGACTTTGCCCCAGGGGGGTGACGACTTTGCCCCACGATTTTTCAATTTTCCAATTTTGTCTTCTTTCAGATAACAGTTTCGTATTAATAAACAAATGAGAGGATGTCCAAAATACTTACTGCATTTTATAGCCAGATCTTTTCCGAATCCAACCATGTATATTACATGATAAAAATAAATTATTTTATCAACAAATTTGGCAATTGAAAAAAAAGTGACGACAATGCCCCACTCTCCCCTACTGTTTTGATTAAATTGGGGAGTTATTATTATTGTGTTTAGTACATGTTTAATGGTATTTGTAAATGTTAGTTTATCTCCTTCTTCATATTGAAGATTTTTGAAATTATTTAATAAACTTTTTAATTTTAAAGTTTCCTCCTGATTCAAGTAATCTGACCGAAACAATACAAAATCTTTTTTTATTGATTCCTGAGCTGAATTTTTCTTATTTTGAAGTAATTAATTTGTATATTTTATCAAAAAGGGTTACTGTGTTTTTTTCGAAGTTATTTGAAAAACTCTGTACATAAAATGGTTAATTTGTTTTAAAAATACTATTGCTGGGTAACATAATCAAGTTGTTCAACGTGATAGGACCATTTGATGTCAAAACGTCACATTTAGTATTTTGAATAGGAAGACGAAATATATTTTTATTGATCATATTTATTGTGGATCCCGTGTCGATAAGGCATTTTTATGTGCCACCTTTGTATGATATTTCTATGTACTGGTTGTATATGTTGTTGCCCTTCATGAATCAACGCATAGTACTGATTGTGGTCATAATACTTGGACAATCCGTGAGGGTTTTCACGGAATTGAAAATGATTTAAATTTTGACTTGCGGTGTAGCAGCCTAGCTGGGGATTTTCCGTCACGAAAGAAGACGCAAAGACAATTCGAAATCAATGCAATTTATTGCGCGGGCGCAGCCAACGTAGACGAGAGATTATCAACGACTCACTCACACGAGCAGTGCCAAATTCTGACGACGTTACAAGCTTATCATTATCAGAGCAACAGTAAGAGTAATTTAATTTACGAGCTAGGCTTAGAGTACAAGAACTTCATTGGACTTCAATTTTTCTCTACTTCAGTTTTTTCTCTTTACTTATAATTATGTATTTATAATTTATTATTCCAAATTTGACTGCTCCAACATTCCGGCCCCGTTGAAGGCTTCCGGCACTTTAACATTTTCGTTGCTAATTGGCAGCAACGCCAATTTATGAATTGCTCGCCTAATTACGCCTCCTTTGGTTTTTATGTCGGCCACCCTCACTCGCTTGTCTTCGCCGAGTGATGTCGCCACGACGCGTCCTGTTAACCACCGTTGAGGAGGTAGATTGTCCTCGTGTACGAGGACCAAGCTGCCGACTTCCAAATTGGTGCCTACTGTGCACCACTTGCTGCGCTGCTGCAGGCTGGCCAGGTAGTCCTTGGACCAGGTTTGCCAAAACTGCTGCTTGAGTGCAGACAGCATTCGCCACCGCTTCAAATACTCGAAGCTGGCCTTTCTGCATACTCCGTCTGTGCTGGATTCTGGCGGCAGCGTAAGAAGAGGCTGGCCGATCAAAAGATGCCCTGGAGTTAGTGCCTCTCCATCGTTGGGGTCGTTGCCAGGCGACGCGATTGGACGCGAGTTGAGCAGCGCCTCGACTTCGACCAGATGCGTGCTGAGCTCGTCTGCTGTGAGTCTGGCATTGCCGACTCCTCGGAGCAACCGATGCTTGGCTGCCTTGACTGCTGCTTCCCACAGTCCGCCGAAGTGTGGTGACCTCGGAGGAACGAAACACCACTCGACGCCTCTCTGCGCCGCGTATGATGTCAGCTGGCCTTGGTTCCGACGAAACGCTGTTTGCAGCTCCTCCAGGACTTTGCTCGCTCCCACGAAGTTGGTCGCGTTGTCGCTGTATATTTTCTCCGGAAGACCCCTCCGTCCGACGAACCTTTTAAATACAGATAAAAAACTGTCAGTAGAAAGATCGACAACGAGTTCCAGGTGAACAGCCTTTGACGAAAAACACACGAAAACAGCCACATAGGTCTTGATTGGAGGTTTTCCTCGGAGTTTTAACGAGACATAAAATGGACCGCAGAAATCTACCCCACAAATCAAGAAAGGACGAGCTTGTCTAACCCGATCGGCTGGCAAATTGCCCATTATTTGGCCAAGAAGTACAGGCTTATAACGAAAACAGTGGACGCAGTCTCGAACAATTTTTGTGCACGCCTCTCGAGCATTAATTAGCCAAATCTGCTGCCTCAAAAGCGAGACCATCACTTTAGCGCCTGCATGATAATGCCTGTGGTGTAAATTGTGAAGGAACAACTTAACGAATTGTTATTTTTGAGAGAGCATTAAGGGAAATTTGGCATCATACGGGATTGATGCATTCAACAGTCTGCCTCCAACACGAATTAATCGAAATGCCACCCCATCTAGCTCGAATGTGTGTATGAAGGGATTTAAGCGTTGAAACTGTGGGGCCCATACTTGCGATTTCTCCAACTTTAAAAATTCCGACCCTAACTCAAGTCCTTGAACTATTTGCACAAGCCTTAGGAATGACAATCTTAATTCCCTTGCGGAAATTACCGATTCGCATAGATCCTTTTTCTTTTTAGTAAAACGATGTACATATGCCATAATGCGGAGTAATTTGTCGAATGACGAACATCTTTCTATAAGACCAAGGAAAACGTTTGGTTCACTTGTCGCAACGGAATGCACTGTAGCACTTTTCTTGTTCTCTGACAGCTTCAATTCCAAAGAAACATCAATCTGGTGAAGGTGGGGCCACTCGATGTAACTGCGTAGTAAAAAATCTGGCCCATTTTCCCACAGAGAACATTTCAAGCCGTCCACATCTGTTCCACGCGACACTAAGTCAGCTGGATTCTCAGTTGTAGGAACATGACGCCAAACTGCATTTTCTGATAGCTCTTGGATTTCAGAAACTCTGTTTGCGACGAACGTTGCGAGTGTGGATGGATCCCTTTTAAGCCAATAAAGTGTGACTTGAGAATCTGACCAAAAATTAATGCTTTCAATCTCCAAAGAGTCAAGCAATGGGGCTAACTGAGCCCAGAGCTTTACAAGCAGGTGCGCTGCACATAGCTCGAGCCTTGGAATGGATTTCGTCTTGAGAGGCGACACTCGCGATTTGGCGCTTAACAACCTAGATAAACTTTTTGTCCCAACACTTGTGCGGACATATATACAACAGCCATAAGCTTCACTTGAAGCATCAGCGAAACCGTGGATTTGAACAGATTCATATGCTGGCAGACAGATGTATCGAGGTATTGAGATCTTGTTTAATTCCAGCAAATTCTGCTTAAACTTGTTCCAACTGGTAAGCAGACTCATAGGGACCGATTCATCCCAATCCAATTTTTGTCGCCATAGTTCTTGCAACAAAATCTTGGCCTTAGTTATTAAAGGACACAGTAATCCTAAGGGATCAAATAGGCGAGCTGTGACAGACAAAATGTTACGCTTTGTTGGTGGTAATGAATCAAATGACTTATCTAGGCTATAATGAAACACATCACTTCGCGGATCCCATTTCATACCAAGAGTTTTGACGGATGTAGAATGGTCAAGCGTCAGAGACTTTTCCGGCCCTGTATCTGCCAGAAGGCTGGAATGATTGGTGGCCCATTTGGCCAGATCGAAGCCCCCATATTTCAAAACCTCAGTTACTTCTCTACGAATAATTTTTAACTCTTCTAAACTATCAGCTCCTGTGATCATGTCGTCAACATAGAAATCACTTGCGATAACCTGAGATGCAATCGGGTGTGATTCCGAATAGATCTTTGATAATTCAATTAGACAACGAATCGCCAAAAAAGGAGCTGATGCTGTTCCATAAGTAACAGTGTTTAGCCGATAAGTTTGAAGTTGGTCTGTGCCTTTCTCTCTCCACAAAATAAGTTGGAAGTCCCGATCATCTTCGGCGACGACAACTTGCCGATACATTTTTGAGATGTCAGCTGTTAAAGCATACTTCTTTAATCGAAACTATCCCTCTGAATAGTTGGTCCCACCATTAACGTCTCATTTAACGAGACCGAAGTTGACGTCTTACTTGACGCGTCGAACACAACTCTCAACTTCGTGGTGCTACTTTCAGGTCTCAGGACACATTGATGCGGAATGTAGTAATGGTGTCCTGGAGGAGGTATCGAAAGCAATGACATATGTATGACCAAGGGTAAGATACTCTCTCATGAATTCTTGGTACATATCATGCAAACTGGCGTCACGGTTAAGTTTGCGCTCCAACGCAAGAAATCTGCGCTTTGCTGTTTCGAAAGACAGCCCTAGCACATTCGAATTCATTTTAAATGGTAGCTTTACCTCAAACCGACCCGAGGCAAGTCTTTTTACCGTCTCCTTGAAGTGTTGCTCACAAGCAACTTGTTCAGCTGTATAGACAGCCTTCGAACTCTCTGTGACTTGTTCCAAATTCCAAAATCGTTCAACTAGAGAGTCGAGAGAACCGATATCATCGTTAACAGTGACGCTACAAACTTGAGCATTATTCAACTCTTGCTGAGTGTACTTCCCAGAAACAATCCACCCCAGTAAAGTTTTCTGAATTGATGGGTGGTGGGAACCTAACTTTATTTGGCCTACGCTTAAAAGTTCGAAAAATATTTCTGCGCCAATTAGCAGGTCCACCTTTGCAGGCTTATAAAAGCGAGGGTCTGCCAACTCAATGTTTGCTGGTATACTCCATTGCGCACAGTTCACCTCATGGTCTGGTTGGTATGTCGAAATCGATTTTAAGACCCAAAAATCAGATCCAAAACTATGAGCATTGATCCTAGAATGTATCGATGTGTGGACCTTATGTCGTACTACCGATTCACTATTTCCTACAGTGGTAACGTTTAAGTATGACTCTTCTCTTTTTAAACGCAGACGTTGTGCTAGATCCTCAGCCATAAAGTTTATTTGCGAACCCGAATCTAAAAGAGCTCTTGCTAACTGAAGTTGCCCAAACCTATCTCGTACCTTTACTATCGCAGTAGCAAGAATGACTTGGTCATTGCTCGCGACATGACTTGAATAGGCTTGATTTTGCTGGCCGGCAGCTACTGCGTTGCTCTGAGAGCGCACTTGCGGCACTGATCCAGGAACAGTTGGCTGATGCTCTACATCGTAGCGGTGAAGAAGCGTGTTATGTGGTGTTGAACAAACACGACACTTTGCAGCCTTGCATTTCTTAACTGGATGTCCTTGACGTAGACAATTAATGCACAAACGGTGGTGCTTAACGAAATTAAAACGCTGAATTACCGGGAGAGCAACAAAAGCTTGACAACTGCCTAAACTGTGGTCCGACGCTGAGCAATATTGACATTTTGTCTCAGTCCGTCGTTCTGTCTTTGTGCATGAAAAAGAAGATCTTGAACATCCCTTATTTGCTCCCTGGCTGGTCTTTCCCTTGTTCCTTGTGGATTCCTCAGCAACTAAATGCTGATACCGACGATTTAGCTGAACCACGCAATCGGACCATGTTGGCAAAGTATCGTAATCTAACTGTTCTTCAAAGCGCGATTTCGTACCGTGATCTACTTTGGACATTGCTATGTGAATCAACATGGCGTTATTTATTTCCTTCTCGCTCCCCAAAGACTGTAATGACGCATACAGAGCTGACATTTCATCGATTAGAGACCTTAAACTGGAAGCCGATGGTTTTAGTGCAGGAGGGATTTCAAATAATTGTGACACTGTATCAAAAAAGATCAGACATTTGTTATCATAAACACTTTTTAAACTATCCAATGCCTTTTCGTAATTACTCTCCGAAATTTGAAAAGCCTTAACTGTTCCTAGGGCACCATCAGTTAGACAAGAAAGCAAGTGATTAAACTTCTCGACATTTGTTAAAGATGTATCATTACGCACCAAGCTTTCAAAAAGACTTATAAAGTTTTTAAATTCCGCATGTTTTCCACTAAATTTAGGCAGATTTACTTTTGGCAAATTTGATATCGGACGATGATGATTGTTATCCGCCTGATTGACTTTTTTTAGAATCGTTAACTTGCATTGCAGACCGGTATAATGATTTTGTGATAACACACATATCCTCAACTGACACTCTTAAATCGTTACTTGGATTAATTAAATCGATGTCTGACTGGATTTCCAATAATTTTTCACAATAAGTTTCAAGCAGTTCCATTCGGTATTCGATTTGAACTTTATCGAAGGAGATAGTTCTGTCCTCGAATGCCGTTCTCATACGCCTAATATCAGCCATAACCCTATTGTGTTTTTGCATAGCTGCGAGAAGTTTTTGGCTAGTTTTAGAAGTTCCTTCCTTCACAATTAATTCCTTATCTTTGTCACTCATTTTGAAATTATTAGAATTTATTATTTATTTTCCAAATTTATTTATTAATTATATGCCTCTCACAAAGGCTAAACTGCAATATTTTGCCGAAGGACAACGTTGAAGCAGAATAAAGTAATTTATTTTGGTCACCTAAGGGTTAAAGAATGCGAAATAATTGTATATGTATGTACTTGCAGGTATAACCTCTGCAGCCAACGCCAAAATTAAAACGATAAAAATTTATTCGACAACGCAAAATAGGGCGAAAGATTCCCGCGAATTATTGTAGATCACACAGGGGTTAAAGATGCCAAATAATTGTGTATGTATGTATGTACTCGCAGGTATAACCTCTGCAGCCAACGCCAAAATTAAAACGATAAAATTTTATTCGACAACGCAAAATTGTGTAAAAGCTTCCCGCGAATTGTTGTGGATCACATAAGGGTTAAATATGCCCACAAAACACAGCCAAAACGCACCAATTTTTGATTTTAATTTATTAAAAACGTGTATATAAGTGGCTCATATAAGGGTTAACAATTGTGATACACTGCGTCGAATTCCAACGGGTTCTATTTATTTAAGCGAAAATTCTCCAAAGTGCAAATGTATGTATGTATATGCGCAACTCTAACTTGTACTGCTCTTTATTTGCAAGTACATGCAAACCGCTATGTAAACGTTTCAAAAAACTGTTCTGCGAATCGGGAATCAGAGAGAGAACACAAAACCGTTTATTTGTCTCAACTTTTAAAAATTTTCGCACTTGATTTTTTATTAAAGGCAGTTCACATAGAATAATGGGTATTTTAAGCTTTTATAATTTTCTGAGTGCCAAAAATTAATACAAGTTGCTGGAGTGGGCAACGTATACATGCAACAAAAATGTTCGACAATTAATGTTTGGCACTGAATACCTGGTTGTTTGGCATGTTTGGCACAAACTTTCCTTTTTTATGGTCGAGTCCAACGCTGCACCGAATCCGCCAGCTAGGTTATTCACTCACACTGAGAAAAATGAACGAGTGCGGAGACGACGAAAATGCACTATATGTTCTATTTTCTGTGGTGATTTTCCACGAAAATGCTAACCGAAGTCCCTGCTCGGGCGCCAATGGACAATCCGTGAGGGTTTTCACGGAATTGAAAATGATTTAAATTTTGACTTGCGGTGTAGCAGCCTAGCTGGGGATTTTCCGTCACGAAAGAAGACGCAAAGACAATTCGAAATCAATGCAATTTATTGCGCGGGCGCAGCCAACGTAGACGAGAGATTATCAACGACTCACTCACACGAGCAGTGCCAAATTCTGACGAAGTTACAAGCTTATCATTATAAGAGTAAGAGTAAGAGTAATTTAATTTACGAGCTAGGCTTAGAGTACAAGAACTTCATTGGACTTCAATTTTTCTCTACTTCAGTTTTTTCTCTTTACTTATAATTATGTATTTATAATTTATTATTCCAAATTTGACTGCTCCAACAATACTGTTGTTTATAATAACTAAGTTTACATGCGCGTCTTGAAATCTCGATTTCTCAATAGAGATTTTGGTTTGCTAACTGTCCGATGGTCTTAGTCGTTTGTTAACCGGTAAGTTAGTATTTTTAGATGTGGGTGGTTGTTGTTGTTGGGGGTGTATGCTGTTTGAGGACTTTGAGTTTTATTCGAAATTTGTTTGAAGGGGTTTTTGTGAGTAATTGGTTGTGTGTTCATATGTTTATGAATCTGCTGTGTATAGGTGGGTCTAAATGATTGCATGTATTGATTAAAATTAGGTTGGAATGGCTGAGAGTATTGTGGGTAACTTGGTCTATATTGGTATTGGGTATTTGTATTGAATTTGTGTGGTTTAGAATTCTGAGTAGGGTAACCATTTTTAGTACAGTTTTCCGGACTTTTATTTAATTCAATATTAATATGTTCTTCGTATATTCCCTCATTCGGTAACTTCCTAATCAGTATTTTATTGGAATCTTTTATCGCCTGTACATAAATATGAAAATTTGGTTGGTTACCTTCTAAATGCAATTTCCGCTTCTTCGCAGAATGCTCTCAGATTTCCTTTATAAGGTGTCTCCCTGAAGTTCTCCAGTAGCTTGTAGTTAAGTGCTTAGGCTTAAATTCATCAATCAGTCTAGATCGTAGGGTAGGCCAATCTTCTATATTCGGGAGGCCCAATGATCGTGTCACGTGTCCGTCTAAGTTCCTTTTGATGGCTCCAAGTAGAATTCTCTGTTGTCGAACATCATTGGTTTATTACATAGAAATTACATAGTCAACTCTGCTGAATAAGGTGAAGAGGGTTTCTGGATCACCCTAATTGGCATGATGTCTTTTAGTTGCCGACGAGCTTCAGCAAGGTTGTTGTTGTTTAGCGCCACGATTTGGGG